TCGTTTAGGTACCCCGGCCCTTATACTTGTAATTACGTCTGTTGTGAACGTTCTTCTTTGGTCCTTGACTGTGTGATGTCAGTTACTCACCCCTTTATAGTTTTTATTATTATTAGTACCGAACGAACGGGCATTGCGATATTAAGCAGGTTTCTTAAACCAAATATTGCGAGCGAGCATCGCCGAAGACTTTGTCGCACATCCGACAGATCCAGCAATTACAAATATGTTTTTTGCCTACGATAAGAAAGGTATTTGTAAGCCTATGGCTTGGTTGTTATTGATTTTTCTTTAAATGGTATTAGCAGTAGTTACAGATGTAATGCAAATATACAAGACGATTTTTTATCGTATTTATCTTTATTTCAATTAGTAACCATGTTGTAATCGTGTTTTAAAAATAACAACTTGCTGCTTGTTTTTTAATTCTTGGCTAAGGTATAACGACAAACGATTCTTCATTTTTGGTTTAAGCGAACCGAAAAGAGATACATCCATCAAGAACTTGTACATATAATTGGCCCTAAATCAAAATGACTCTAGCTCAACCAACTCGTTAAGATATGGAGAAATATGCAAACTGTATCTAGTTTTTATTTTATTCGCTGATTAGCCGTTGTTTCATAACTTGAATCATTATTTACGATATGTGCACAAATTGGTTTATGAATTTTCCTGTTTGTCCTTTCGCAGTCCCTCCCCATGCAGGTACGTGTAGATGTTACAGCTACCCCATGATTGCAAAAAAAGACGCATATGTACATGCTTTCTTCAGCCCAAGCGGAAAAGTTTCAATCACCAACTTTGAAGTGTGTATGGTCATTTTAACATGCTTGATAATGTCCTTGGATCGCTTGATAGTAAATATACTTTCGAATCTCTTGATTGTTATTATATTATTATTATGTCAGAGTCTTTTGTCAGTTCATAGGACGGCTAGTATACGAGAACGAATTATTCTTCATGACATTAATAAATACCCCTATCAACGCCCATTACAATCATTAACATACTATTGGCCAAAAAACTGTCTAGCATTCGATTCTGCCGAGTTATGTAACGAATATAATGCTGTTCTAGAAACAAATAAGTGGAAGAAATGATGGACGTTTTAGCAAGAGAAGTAGATACGATAAATGCCACAAACAATCAGACAGATAAAATGGTCTTTTAGAACTTCTTGACATAGACAATCTTTGTCACTTAACAAGACACCTCTTCAATCAACCGTCCTCAGAAAAACCTAACACCACTAGCTTTACAAAAATTGTTCGGCGTATAAAAAAGCAGCTACCATCGCCTTCTCTTGTCAAACATCAAACAACGTTTATTCTTATAACGCTTACCCTTACGTCGTCACTGACGACAAACTCCCTCAGATGATTGCTTATTACCCTCTTATGACCACAAACTTTAACGAGATACAGTTGGTACACGAAACTTTACCGTATGTAACATCATTAAATGCATGCTTGTAAAAAAAAGCATTAACACAATAACACGCAAGGGCGCAGCCCCCACAGAACAGTACAATTGTCATCACCCCATTATTATTTAATCACTAGACAAGTGTATTATGTCTTATTTAACCCGTTATATTAACCTAACCAATCTTTCCATTTACACACTCAATACTTTCTGTATATTTTTCCAATCAACATTCTGTCTCGAATTTTCTTACATCCGATTATGTAATCGATTTCATCACCGCATTGTTGACGATCTTACGTTTAAGAAAGGATGACAGCGTATTCTGTCAATACAATGGACATATTTGGACCGTTGTATAAAAGTGTCAGAGTTATTGACTCTAATACGCTTAATATAGCACGCCCACTTTAAATAAGATCAACTTTCTAATATAATCAGTCAATAATCCAGCCCATGGAAATAGAAAGCATTAAATATGACTGCCTTGTGTTTAATATATCTACAGCCATTGTTGTCAGCCACTTTAAATATAATGTTTCTGGGATAACCTTTTCAGTTTTAATGATCTGTAAACGTGGGATTATTCATAGTGTTTATTGTCGACATCCGGCTGTGATATCAAAATAATGTGATTGGTCATTGAAATAGTATGATATTGCCATCTTAGTTAACGGCTGAAAAAATTTTGCGTAGTAAAGTGATAATCAATGATTGCATTCTCGATCACAAACGCTTCACTCATGCTTACACAATATGCAATTGTTTGACCAGAAAAGTGAAATGAAAGAAGATGAATTAATTCAGATTGCAAATGCGTTGAAAGAACACACGGGTTTATAATTGTCGGTTTGTAATATACTGCAATTGGATTTTACTTTATTGTTTAAATTTTGTACAAGATATGATATTAATATACAGTATTGAACAATTTGCCGTTCGTATTTTAGAGCGAATCGCAAATACTCAACCAAGCATTGTTACATACGTCACTTATAGCACCATTAAGTCCACCGTATTCAGCTATAAGATGAAATAGATACGATACTAGACTTGAACAAAACAACGCCCCCAAACCATCTGTAACGGTGTCACATGCAGCAACAGCAGCATCGTAGCTTAAACTCGTATATTCCCCATTCAAAAGCCATGCACAGACATCGTCAAAAGCACTCTCCAGTGCCGACAGATTACATAGTGAGAATAGTCCTTTTTCACCGAAATTGATAGGAAGAACGCAATGTCCGTTAGCGCATGTACCGTTTCCATCGCAGTCGGACTTATTATCACAGGTACAAGACCATCTCGGTAAATTCTTATCGCACGTCAAGTTCCGAGTATTTGCTGCATCAATTCGACAATTACCATCTGTATGACAACCGTAAACACATTGCCCTTGCGTTGATGGTGTAGTTGAGCATACAAAACCGACAGGGCAGTCAGTATCCACTTCGCACGAGGAAACCGAATGTATAAAGAGGATGGCAAGAATAATAATTGTGAAATATTGTGTGTGCATTTTTGATGGGTTGATTGCCTAAACAGCAAGTTATTTTATAGGCAATATGGTCTGATTACGACATCTGATAACATTGATGCTCTAGCTTCAAAAAACCTGTATGCTATCCGCCTAACATACTCTCTTTTATTATTTTTGTTATTATTAAACCAAAAATGATACTGACAGAGATGAGATGTGCTTGTGTGTGCATATAAAAACTGGTTTTAGCAAATTTTGTTGAACTAGGTGTAAACAAAGATGCACGCAATGATCAGTGTTATTTGTCTCGTGATTCGGTATCTACCGACTTTGAATGCCAACCAAAACGACCTGTGAATTTTAATAGTATTATATCCCCTCCCTATTGCTTATGCTTAGGCTTATGCTTAAGCCTTCCAACATTATATTTATTGAAATATTGAATATTGACAAAGCGTAATGCTCTTTTATGGTGTTTGCAGTACTCGCACTGATAACTGTAAGTGATAATTAGATAAAGGTACAATCTGCGTATAGCTACACTAATCATTAAATAAAACAACCAATTTTTTTCTGACTTTTAACAAATATTCTATAACAATATAGAACAATTATGGAAATATCTTTACAGGATGAAGATGAATATTGTATAATTGAGTGATAATTAGATAAAGATAGCTACATTAATGGTTACAATGGAACAAAATTTTCTTTCCGACTTTTGCGACGACGACAAGTTATAGTAAACTGAAATAAAGTGACCCTAATAACTGTCGAATTTGACAGTTAACTTTTAGTAACAGTGAAATTTACGCGTCTGTAACACATATACTGACACTTCAGCGGATAACGACAATTTATGAGTGGTTTATTCGAAAATATAGTAAATTACCTTTATAAAAATGTAAAAATTTCTGTCGTTTGTTTAGTAAACGATGCCAATACAGATGTTCGAAAAATAGACTTTACTAATTGATCGACATGGATGGTCCGAGACTTTTGAGTCGGCACAGTAGATCTATACATTCAGGCATATTGTGATCGCCGATAATTTATTATTTCGGGACCAATGCCACGAATGGTCTACATAATGTAATCTATAATCTAAATCGCAAGTATTATTTGTTATAATTGTATAAAGTCGTTATACTGGCAACATTCATCCTGATTTAGAACGAAATCTAAAGAACCATATCATAGTTCGTTAATGACGTGTTAACATAACGACATTGCTGTAATTGTAATCTACGAATTATTTAACCTTGGCATTGTATCAATAGAGACTCTTTCTTATATTATCTCTAAAATACATAATTTTTATTATTTTATATATTAAACAATTCGAGACAGCTGCTTTAACCTTTAACAATAAAATAGCACAAGTGCGGAAGAATAATGTCCGAAGTAGAGGTTTGGGAAACAATGGTAAACTTAGACGTCCTATTACTATCTTTTATCATTGACCTTTCGTCAGAATTTTCTGGTGGCATGTATGCATGGTTTGGAGAAGAGTGGCCAGTCCTTAAAGATAAAGTCTTGGCACAAGTAAACGTTAAAATAAAGCAGTTTGAATATATGATTGACGGTGACATTTCAAAATAGAAGACGTACATGGTAACTTGCAGATTATTAATATATTGTATGTACTACACTGAACTTCTTTTACTCTCATGTTTAGCTTTGTCGTGTATATTGTTTCTGGAAGGCTAGGGATTTTGTACTAGTACTTGATAAGTTGAAGACCTTCAATTGATGAATAATGAAGGCTGATTTTTTGTGTATGCGATGCATACCTTTTTTTGCACTCACATTCTGATTACCTACTAAGTTTGAGTTCAAATTTATTACTAATATTAATGTAAACGCGATAGGCTATCCTGAGGGTTCTAGTCAGTATCGTTTCATTAATGGGTTCTGTGACTAACGATTATGCGAATTATTCTCATAATAGCCTTCTATAACAATAACTCGTCACGATAATCACATGTCTAGACGAATATCCCGTAACCGCTATTCCTCCTGATTCATAGAGAAGCGTAACTCTATTTTACCTAGTTCAGTAATATTATAATACTCTTCACTTGGGCGTCGAGCGGTAATGTTATTACAGCGGAATAGCTAAGTAACCCAAGATAACATAACATGTCATAGCTAAGCGATGACAAATTAGTAATTGACATTACTAATTACCATCGGAATTAGACTCCGGTTCAGTGAATCGGACAGCAAACCGATTACAAACACTCTCGATTGAGGGAGCTAACATTGTCGAATATTCTAATGAATATTTCCCGCTACGCAACATGAGTTACTACCTAGGTGGAGCATTATCCATACCCAGTTGAACGTAACGATGACATTGTCATG